GGGGAGGTCAAAGCGAGTCGCCCAGGCTCCCTGCTGGGCGGCTCGCGTCGTGTTTGTAACGGTTCGAAGAAGCTCTTTGTTCACGGTTGCACCGTGAACAGGAGATTGGTCGAGGCTATGCACAAGCGATGCGCGTAGACTCCGTGTGGCTCTGGGCTGCAGCCTGTTAGAGAGCCGAGTCGCTTTAATAGCACGGCCGGGCACGGTCGTACCTCGCGTGCCCTCTGTGCGAAAAAGAAATCGCACATTCAGAATTTCACAATTACACTAGTTTATCTCGGCTTCTCCACATGAACCAAGCATCAGCACCGTGAGGTGTGATACATTGGCGCGTAAAGGGTCAGTCTGGAGTCGCGTGCCTCCACAACGGAAGAGCTACGCAGTACCTGACATCCCCCGGGGTCTTGCCACTAAAGGCGGAGGGTTGGGACTCAAACAGCTTGGACGAACTGCAGGTCCGGAGGTAACCTCAACGTCCTGCAGCCGGCCGCGGCGCCGTAAGGGTTCGCACCTCAGACCAAGTAGAGAGAGAGGTGGAGCTCACCACACGTGGAGCACCTACCGCCGCGTAAACGACGCGGGAGTCTCCCCCGCATAAAGAGGGGGGAGAGGTAAGATGGGCCGACGACAGGACCCATTACGCGAGCAGAGGCTCGAGCTGACTTCGCCGTGAGAGCCACGGTGGATCCCATGATAGCGTGAGAGCTTAGCATGCCACCAAGGAGAGGGTGGGTGGGAACCAAAGAGAGATGGCGCAGCCGGAGGGCTGGCGCCGTCAGAGAGGATGGAGCGGCCACAGAGGTGGCGCGGCATCAGGTCCCATGAGCAGGGAGAGAGCGCAGCGAGAGCGCCGCGCATGAGGAGCAAGGGCCAAGCGCGCTCGCGAAAGTAGGCGGCGAAAGCGCGCGCCAGCTGAAGTGCAAGTTTGGTGTTCACAGCAGCGGAGGCTGAGTGAAGACCGCATGCGATGTGCGCGAGGGCACACGAGAGGGACTCAGGAGAGGTATCCGTGAGTACCCTACGATAAACTAGTGGCCTACCACGAGTTGGGGCCCCCACCCCAATCGTTATCGGCGGACTAGTTTATCTCGGCTTCTCCACATGAACCAAGCATCAGCACCGTGAGGTGTGATACATTGGCGCGTAAAGGGTCAGTCTGGAGTCGCGTGCCTCCACAACGGAAGAGCTACGCAGTACCTGACATCCCAACGCAGAGTGGAGGGAGCGGGTGCAGACGGACCTCGCATCCCAATGAAGCCAGAAGAGGGGCAGATGCGCTCGTGACGAGGAGCGACCCCAGCGTGAAGCCTACATTCACGCCACGCCGCCCACGAGGCGGCACACGAGACGAGGCTCGAGTAGACGAAGAGCGAGACGAGGCTCACTCGAGGCGGCGGCAGAGACAGCCGCCCGCCACGCCACGCTGCCCACGAGGCGGCACACGAGACGAGGCTCGAGTAGACGAAGGGCGAGACGAGGCTCACTCGAGGCGGCGGCAGAGACAGCCGCCCGCCACGCCGCCCCACGAGGCGGCACACGAGGCGAGGCTCGAGTAGACGAAGAGCGAGACGAGGCGCACTCGAGGCGGCGGCACAGACAGCCGCCCGCCACGCCACGCCGCCGACGAGGCGACGCACGAGACGAGGCTCGAGTAGACGAAGAGCGAGACGAGGCTCACTCGAGGCGGCGGCAGAGACAGCCGCCCGCCACGCCACGCTCCCCACAAGCGGCATACGAGGCGAGGCTCGAGTAGGCGAAGAGCGAGACGAGGCTCACTCGAGGCGGCGGCAGAGGCAGCCGCCCGCCACGCCGCCCACGAGGCGGCACACGAGACGAGGCTCGAGTAGACGAAGAGCGAGACGAGGCTCACACGAGGTGGCGGCAGAGACGGCCGCCCGCCACGCCACGCTCCCCACAAGCGGCATACGAGGCGAGGCTCGAGTAGACGAAGAGCGAGACGAGGCTCACTCGAGGCGGCAGCAGAGACGGCCGCCCACCACGCCGCGCCGCCCACGAGGCGGCACACGAGGCGAGGCTCGAGTAGACGAAGAGCGAGACGAGACTCACACGAGGCGGCGGCAGAGACAGCCGCCCGCCACGCCACGCTCCCCACAAGCGGCATACGAGGCGAGGCTCGAGTAGGCGAAGAGCGAGACGAGGCTCACTCGAGGCGGCGGCAGAGGCAGCCGCCCGCCACGCCGCCCACGAGGCGGCACACGAGACGAGGCTCGAGTAGACGAAGAGCGAGACGAGGCTCACACGAGGTGGCGGCAGAGACGGCCGCCCGCCACGCCACGCTCCCCACAAGCGGCATACGAGGCGAGGCTCGAGTAGACGAAGAGCGAGACGAGGCTCACTCGAGGCGGCAGCAGAGACGGCCGCCCACCACGCCGCGCCGCCCACGAGGCGGCACACGAGGCGAGGCTCGAGTAGACGAAGAGCGAGACGCGACTCACACGAGGCGGAGGCAGAGACAGCCGCCCGCCACGCCACACCGCCGCACGAGGCGCACACGAGACGAGGCTCGAGTAGACGAAGAGCGAGACGTGGCTCACCCGAGGCGGCGGCAGAGACAGCCGCCCGCCACGCCACGCTCCCCACAAGCGGCATACGAGGCGAGGCTCGAGTAGACGAAGAGCGAGACGAGGCTCACTCGAGGCGGCGGCAGAGACAGCCGCCCGCCACGCCGCCCAAGAGGCGGCACACGAGACGAGGCTCGAGTAGACGAAGAGCGAGACGAGGCTCACTCGAGGCGGCGGCAGAGACAGCCGCCCGCCACGCCACACCGCCCCACGAGGCGGCACACGAGACGAGGCTCGAGTAGACGAAGAGCGAGACGAGGCTCACTCGAGGCGGCGGCAGAGACAGCCGCCCGCCACGCCACACCGCCCCACGAGGCGGCACACGAGACGAGGCTCGAGTAGACGAATAACGAGACGAGGCTCACTCGAGGCGGCGGCAGAGACAGCCGCCCGCCACGCCACACCGCCCCACGAGGCGGCACACGAGACGAGGCTCGAGTAGACGAAGAGCGAGACGAGGCTCACTCGAGGCGGCGGCAGAGACAGCCGCCCGCCACGCCGCCCAAGAGGCGGCACACGAGACGAGGCTCGAGTAGACGAATAACGAGACGAGGCTCACTCGAGGCGGCGGCAGAGACAGCCGCCCGCCACGCCACACCGCCCCACGAGGCGGCACACGAGACGAGGCTCGAGTAGACGAAGAGCGAGACGAGGCTCACTCGAGGCGGCGGCAGAGACAGCCGCCCGCCACGCCGCCCACGAGGCGGCACACGAGACGAGGCTCGAGTAGACGAAGAGCGAGACGAGGCTCACTCGAGGCGGTGGCAGAGACAGCCGCCCGCCACGCCGCCCCACGAGGCGGCACACGAGGCGAGGCTCGAGTAGACGAAGAGCGAGACGAGGCTCACTCGAGGCGGCGGCACAGACAGCCGCCCGCCACGCCACGCCGCCCACGAGGCGCACACGAGACGAGGCTCGAGTAGACGAAGAGCGAGACGCGACTCACACGAGGCGGCGGCAGAGACAGCCGCCCGCCACGCCACGCCGCCCACGAGGCGGCATACGAGGCGAGGCTCGAGTAGACGAAGAGCGAGACGAGGCTCACTCGAGGCGGCGGCAGAGACAGCCGCCCGCCACGCCACGCCGCCCACGAGGCGGCACACGAGACGAGGCTCGAGTAGACGAATAACGAGACGAGGCTCACTCGAGGCGGCGGCAGAGACAGCCGCCCGCCACGCCACGCCGCCCCACGAGGCGGCACACGAGACGAGGCTCGAGTAGACGAAGAGCGAGACGAGGCTCACTCGAGGCGGCGGCAGAGACAGCCGCCCGCCACGCCGCCCACGAGGCGGCACACGAGACGAGGCTCGAGTAGACGAAGAGCGAGACGAGGCTCACTCGAGGCGGCGGCAGAGACAGCAGCCCGCCACGCCACGCCCCCCACAAGCGGCATACGAGGCGAGGCTCGAGTAGACGAAGAGCGAGACGAGGCTCACTCGAGGCGGCGGCAGAGACAGCAGCCCGCCACGCCACGCCGCCCACGAGGCGGCACACGAGACGAGGCTCGAGTAGACGAAGAGCGAGACGAGGCTCACTCGAGGCGGAGGCAGAGACAGCAGCCCGCCACGCCACGCCGCCCACGAGGCGGCACACGAGACGAGGCTCGAGTAGACGAAGAGCGAGACGAGGCTCACACGAGGCGGCGGCAGAGACAGCCGCCCGCCACGCCACGCTCCCCACAAGCGGCATACGAGGCGAGGCTCGAGTAGACGAAGAGCGAGACGAGGCTCACTCGAGGCGGCGGCAGAGACAGCCGCCCGCCACGCCACGCCACGCTCCCCACAAGCGGCATACGAGGCGAGGCTCGAGTAGACGAAGAGCGAGACGAGGCTCACTCGAGGCGGCGGCAGAGACAGCCGCCCGCCACGCCGCCCACGAGGCGGCACACGAGACGAGGCTCGAGTAGACGAAGAGCGAGACGAGGCTCACTCAAGGCGGCAGAGACGGCCGCCCGCCACGCCACGCTCCCCACAAGCGGCATACGAGGCGAGGCTCGAGTAGACGAAGAGCGGGACGAGGCTCACACGAGGCGGCAGCAGAGACGGCCGCCCACCACGCCGCCCAAGAGGCGGCACACGAGGCGAGGCTCGAGTAGACGAAGAGCGAGACGAGGCTCACTCGAGGCGGCGGCAGAGACAGCCGCCCGCCACGCCACACCGCCCCACGAGGCGGCACACGAGACGAGGCTCGAGTAGACGAAGAGCGAGACGAGGCTCACTCGAGGCGGCGGCAGAGACAGCCGCCCGCCACGCCACACCGCCCCACGAGGCGGCACACGAGACGAGGCTCGAGTAGACGAATAACGAGACGAGGCTCACTCGAGGCGGCGGCAGAGACAGCCGCCCGCCACGCCACACCGCCCCACGAGGCGGCACACGAGACGAGGCTCGAGTAGACGAAGAGCGAGACGAGGCTCACTCAAGGCGGCAGCAGAGACAGCCGCCCGCCACGCCACGCCGCCCACGAGGCGGCACACGAGACGAGGCTCGAGTAGACAAAGAGCGAGACGAGGCTCACTCGAGGCGGCGGCAGAGACAGCCGCCCGCCACGCCACGCCGCCCACGAGGCGGCCCACGAGACGAGGCTCGAGCAGACAAAGAGCGAGACGAGGCTCACTCGAGGCGGCGGCAGAGACAGCCGCCCGCCACGCCACGCCGCCCACGAGGCGGCACACGAGACGAGGCTCGAGTAGACGAAGAGCGCGACGAGGCTCACTCGAGGCGGCGGCAGAGACAGCCGCCCGCCACGCCACGCCGCCCACGAGGCGGCACACGAGACGAGGCTCGAGTAGACGAAGAGCGAGACGAGGCTCACTCGAGGCGGCGGCAGAGACAGCCGTCCGCCACGCCACGCCGCCCAAGAGGCGGCACACGAGACGAGGCTCGAGTAGACGAAGAGCGAGACGAGGCTCACTCGAGGCGGCGGCAGAGACAGCCGCCCGCCCGCCACGCCGCCCACGAGGCGGCAGACGAGGCGAGGCTCGAGTAGACGAAGAGCGAGACGAGGCTCACTCGAGGCGGCGGCAGAGACAGCAGCCCGCCTCGCCGCCCAAGAGGCGGCACACGAGACGAGGCTCGAGTAGACGAAGAGCGAGACGAGGCTCACTCGAGGCGGCAGCAGAGACAGCCGCCCGCCACGCCGCCCACGAGGGCGAACGAGGCGAGGCTTGAGCAGACAAAGAGAGCGAGACGAGGCTCACTCGAAGAGCAGCACGCGCCGCTGCACGGGCGGAGCAAGTGCCGGAGTGCTGCCTTGGATAGAGATCTCCCAGAGCAACATGACAGCAGAGCTTATCGCCGGCGGGTCCAGAGAGAAAGGAGAAGCACGCCACGAGACGTGATGCAACAGCAGCACCAAGAGTGGGCTGTGGGGCCACCGCCCCTGGCCGCCAGGTGTACGAGGCCGTCGTGGCAGAGCTGAGGCGACCACGAGAGCGCCACAAGCGCGGCAGACGAGGCCGCCGCCCATCGTGTACTGCTGCCCAGAAACAGTCGCCAGCGACAGCAAGAATGGCGCAGACACAGATTCTGTGCCAACCAAAGAGAGATGGCGCAGCCGGAGGGCTGGCGCCGTCAGAGAGGATGGAGCGGCCACAGAGGTGGCGCGGCATCAGGTCCCATGAGCAGGGAGAGAGCGCAGCGAGAGCGCCGCGCATGAGGAGCAAGGGCCAAGGGTGTTCACAGCAGCGGAGGCTGAGTGAAGACCGCATGCGATGTGCGCGAGGGCACACGAGAGGGACTCAGGAGAGGTATCCGTGAGTACCCTACGATAAACTAGTGGCCTACCACGAGTTGGGGCCCCCACCCCAATCGTTATCGGCGGACACAACAAAAAAGGCGCGGGCGACGGCTTCCACTCCACACCCCAACATCCCCACCCTCGCTCCGCCCCGCCCCGCCATCTCCACCTGACAACCAATCGCGAAGACGCACCTCGAGAGACGCACGACTCGGCCCTCCCGACCCCCTGCACCATATGAGAAGAGTTTTACAATGACGAATGAGCTCTCTCGCACACGCAAGATCACACAACAGACAAGGCACACCAGTGTACAACCATGGAGTGTGTGAATGCGACAAGGGACCGTCCGTTTGTGCGTATCACGTATCACTCCCGTGTGCATTCCCCCGCTGCCCTCGTGTGCATTCCCCCTCTCCCCTCAGAGTGGCGGTGGAGATGGAGGGGGGGCACTGCCTGGAGGGAACGCGTGGCACACACAGCTGAAATGATTATAGGCACGGTTGCTCAGACCATAACACTCGGAGGGGAAGTCCTGGTCGTCAGGGATCGCCCCGGTGGCATCATCGTGGGGCTGAACACAGTGCATCCTTCCACATTTGACGCCGTCGATGGCGGTTTCCGCATTGCCTTGGTAAGCAAACCGCGCGTCATCCGTGTAGACTGTGTCGTTATGCACGCGCCAACGCCCGTCCAGGACGGACGGAGGCGTTAGGACAACGCAACCCTAACCCGTAGCCAAATTGGCACTCGGGCGTGTGCGCGCGTAGACACTACTCTCCTTGCTGTGTGTCCCTACGGCATATTAATGCCGATAAATGCCTCAAGAGCCGAGTGTGGGCCGGAAAGCCCAGCACTCTCTCGCCAGGAAGCATCGCAACACAAAGAGCTACGCAACCCAGAGTTCGCCCGTCGCCATGATTGCGACCCCCGAGCCTAGCCCTGCACGCCCTGCCGCCGCCTCACGGCTGTGCGCGGCTGCGCTCCTCCTCCTCCTCGCCTTCATCGCGGTCGGCGCAGCTCTAGACCCGCGTGCCAGCATGGCGACGGGCGAACGCCTGGCACGCGGTCGCCACAAGGGAACCGCTTTCTTCGCTGCCACCGGTCATCATGCAGCGGCAGGCGCCACCGCCGCCGCGAACGGGCACTCTGTAGTTGGCTTTCAACAAGCCTCCAAGGCGGAGACCAAGGACACCGGCCACGGCTCGCGGATCGCGACGGGGGGGCTGATGATGACGGGCCACGACAAGGCCGCCGGCGCGAACATGATGATGCATGGCAAGCCGGTGGCGGGGACTATGGTGGCTAAGCATGGACGCGCGTGATGGTGGCGGGCGCCGCGACGCCGCGTGGAAGGGCGAAGCCGCCGGGTGCGGCTGAAGGTGTGGTCGTGGCAGGCCATGGTCGCCGCGGGCGATCACTGCCGAGGGCGAGGCCACGGCCCACGCGTGTGACGGATCACGCCGCGCTCACCACCTCACCAGCGCTGGGCCGAAGCGAAGTCGGAGGTCAGCGCGGGCTCGTCAGGTGTGTGCCGTCGCAATCCGCGCCTCTTCTCTGGAGTTCTAGTTGTTGTGCGATTTCGTCTAGAAACGTCGCCAGCAGACCAGCACCGATTACAAGTTCGAAGTTGTCGCACTTTTGCACTGGAGGTCTCGATCGTGCTCACACCTCACACACGGCGCACGCAGCCGCGGCGGGAGAGGAACTCACGTGGGACAGGGTCCCGCAATGCAGCCGCAGCCGCGAAACGCGCCGCCCTTCGCCCTCAGCGCGCGCCGCGAACGCACTCGTTCCGCAGCAGCGCGAGCTCGTTGCGGGGCAGCAGCGTCGCCGCGCCGAGCAGCGGCCGGAGCTTGAGCCGCCTGGCGGGATCAGCCGAGATCAGCCGAGATTACCCGAGATTACCCGAGCAGATGCCGCAGCTTGAGCCGCCTGGCGGGATCAGCCGAGATCAGCCGAGATTACCCGAGATTGCCCGAGCAGAGGCCGGGGCTTGAGCGGCGTGGCGGGATCAGCCGAGATCAGCCGAGATTACCCGAGATTGCCCGAGCAGAGGCCGGGGCTTGAGCGGCGTGGCGGGAGAGAGTGTGTGCTGGCGTTGTGTAACCGCGATGGCCTTCGCGAGATCTCGGCGGTATCTCGGCGGCAGCTCGGCGAGATCGCGGCGAAATCTGGGCGAGACTATCTCGGCGGTATCTCGGCGGCATCTCGGCGAGATCTCGCCGAGCGAGCTCGAGCACGGCCTCGTGCGGCACGCCCAGCTCCGAGGCTAGCTCGCCTATCACGCATGAACAATCATTAATTAAATCGATACTTAATAATTGACAGCTCCGAGGCTAGCTCGCCTATCACGTATTAATTAAGTACTGATTAATATTAACTAATACATGCCAGCTCGGAGGCTAGCTCGCCTGAGATGAGGCGAGGGAAGGTATTAGGGGAGGGGGCAGAGACGGTTCCGAAACGGTGCCAAGAAGGTTCAGAGACGGTTCAGAGAAGGGCTCCGTCCGCGGCGACATCTCGTTTCAACCTCGGGCACTCTCGGACAACTCTCGGACAATCTCGTGTACGCTCGCCGATCGACTCGTCGGCCAGCCCCTCGCGCAGCTCGATCGGGTCGCAGCCTAAATCTCGGCCAATCTCGGGTCATCTCGGGGGTATCTCGGGCGATCTCGCGCAGCTTGACCCGGCCGCAGCCTAGAGGCGGCAGAGAGGCGCGCTGTGCAGGAGAGAAGACGTGGCGGGCTGGCGGGCTCGACCGGGCCGCCGCCCTGCAGGTAGTGCACCAGGCTGGCAACCTGCGGTGAGCGGGAGGGAGGGAGGGAGGGAGGGAGGGAGGGAGGGAGGGAGAGAGTGTGGTGTGTGTGTGTGTGTGTGTGTGTGTGTGTGTGTGTGTGTGTGTGTGTGTGTGTGTGTGTGTGTGTGTGTGTGTGTGTGTGTGTGTGTGTGTGTGTGTGTGTGTGTCCCAAGGTGGTGGCCACAAGAGAGTGGGCGCGCGCGGCGGGCCGCGTGAGAAGGAGGTGGCGGAGCCAGATCTCAGTTGGCGTGCGCCGCGCGCGGCGATAGATGGTCGCCACAACTTCCTCTGGCTTCAGTGCAAAGAACGGGCAAGCCTCGCGGACGGGGGGGGCCGCGAGCGCCAGCTGGAAGAAGCGTGTGCGGGCGCGGTGTGTGCGCAGTGTCTGTGTGGTGTGTGCGGAAGTGTGCGGGCGCGGAGTGTGCTGTCGTGCGGAGTGTCTGCGTGCGGTTGCGAGAGCTGCGCGGTGTCGGTGAGCGGTGTCCGCTGCCCCGACGCCTGCGCCGCGGTGCACGCCTCCGAGAGGGGCCGCTCCGGCCTAAAAACGAAAGACGCCCGGTAAAAAAGAAGGACGCCGCGCCGCCTCCAAATGAGGGGGGGCTCTCCCCGACCTTAAGTCTCGCTCCGGCACGCCCAGATCCAGCAGCTTCGCAAGCACCGCCTCGAGCGGCGCGCCGTAGTCGTCGCCGATCTCCGCGGGAGTGAACGCGCCGCTCCCAAACGCCTCGCCGTCGCCGCCATCGCCGCCCGCGCCGCCGCCGTCGCCCCACTCGCGCCCCTCGACGAGCACGTGCGCCTCGGCGCGCGCGCGCGCCTGCTCCGCCTCGTACTCGGCGCCCGCTGCCTCGTCGAGCATGATCTCTGCCGCCCACGCCGGGACGTGCTTGGCCAGCTTCTCCGCGCCGGCCATCTCGTGCTCCCACTCGTTGTCAAAGGTGGGCGCCGTCTCGCCACCGTACGACGAGGCGAGCGCGGAGACCGCAGCGCGACCGAGGCGCGTAGGCCGGAGGCCGGAGCCGGCCGAGTGAGCGAGCGCGAGGCCAACGAGCATATACACACACAATGGGCTGAGCCTCGGTAAGCGACGCGTAGCGCGTGAACCGCCGGGGCGGGCGCCGGGTGGCGCCGCGGAGCTCTTTTGGCTCGGCGTACACGGGCGAGTAAAAAGAATTTTGCGGCACCCTGGGAGCACCGTTCCTTTTGTGAGGAGCAGGAGAGCCCCACCTGAGATTTTTCGTCCGTGGAAGAGCAATGGACAAACCCTGAAGATCTAGCCTTTGCAAAAAGAAACTCCGCGCAGCCGTCGCCCAACTCGCCCCTACCACACCATGGAGCCAGCGGCCAAATGCCTCGAGTCGGTGGTGACCTCGTTGACACCTCCTAGGCGCGCAGACGCTGCCGGTTTGTGGTGGTGGGAGTGGCGGCAGTGGCGACGATGGAGGGAGATGTGGCGGCAACAGCAGAGAGTGGAGCCTGTGTCAAATGAGGCGGACCAAGCGGCGGCGGCACCTGCGGCGGAGGCGACAGTGGCAAGGGCGGTGGCGAGGGCGGCGGCGGCGGCGCCGGCGCAGGAGAAAGACGAGGCGGAGCAGGCGGCGGCGGCAGCTGCGGCGAAGGCGACAGTGGCGACGGCGGTGGCGAGGGCGGCGGCGGCGGCGGCGGCGCAGGAGAAAGACGAGGCGGAGCAGGCGGCGGCGGCAGCTGCGGCGAAGGCGACAGTGGCGACGGCGGTGGCGAGGGCGGCGGCGGCGGCGGTAGCAAGCAACGCCGCGGCGGCGCAGGAGAAAGACGAGGCGGAGCAGGCGGCGGCGGCAGCTGCGGCGAAGGCGACAGTGGCGACGGCGGTGGCGAGGGCGGCGGCGGCGGCGGTAGCAAGCAACGCCGCGGCGGCGCAGGAGAAAGACGAGGCGGAGCAGGCGGCGGCGGCAGCTGCGGCGAAGGCGACAGTGGCGACGGCGGTGGCGAGGGCGGCGGCGGCGGCGGCGGCGCAGGAGAAAGACGAGGCGGCGCAGGCGGCGGCGGCAGCTGCGGCGAAGGCGACAGTGGCGACGGCGGTGGCGAGGGCAGCAGCGGCGGCAGCGGCGGAGACGCAAGTCGAGATGGCTGATGTTTGTGAGCCGATCGCACCGGCGAGGGAACGGCGGCCAACGTCAGCGCAAGTCTCTTGCTCCGAGCAAGCGCTTGCCCGCTATCTGCGTCCGCTCCTCTGCGAGCTCCAAAGATGGCTTCCCCTCCTCACCACCATCCTCCTCCTCGCGCTCTACCACCACCGAAACTACGCCACGGGGGCGGGAGTCGCTCCGCCGCCGCTACCCACTCCGCCACCACCACCGGGCCTCCCTAGTGCGTCTTCCTGCCCCCGCGTCGGGCGACGGTGGAGCACTCTCACTTCCAGCGCTCTCCTGTGACGCACTATAGGGACTCTGCGCCTCGGCCCGCTGCGCGAGATCGTGGTTTCGCATGTCACTGCCGCGAGGACACGCGTGGGCGCTGCTGCTGCTGCTATCGCAGCCTCCGCCGCCCGCAAGGCTGGCCCCGCCTCACCTACCTCTCGTGCCATACGCGCTAGCACACGGGCTGCGCGGCAGGCTTTGATCGGAGCCGTCGCGTCCGTAGCGGGGCATCCCGATTCGTGATGGTCGGGGGTGTTGCGTGAGAGCTGAAGGCCGAGCCGTACTCACGCGCTGTGCTGCCCTCGCGCCGCGCTTCTCTCACACCCGGCGACTAAGCAGGTTTGCATGGGCCGGTCTCGGCGTCGTGGTGGGGCCATGAGATGTCGGTTCCCCACCACGCACCGGACTTTTTGTAGCGGTGGAGAGAATTAAGGAATCTTTCTGCTGTAACCAACACTGACATCGCTCTCCACAGTCTCCTCCATTCAGATCAGATGGTGTGAGTCTTTACTCATAACTGTTAATTACCGGTAAATTACCGTGTCGGAAAGCTGTCAGAACGGAACAAAACAACTCAACACTCAGAACGGCTTCAGAACACTGTCAGAACGCGGTCAGAACGCTGTTTCAGAACGATGTCAGAACGCTGTCAGAGCCTGCGGGGTGGTCAAGTGCGAGAGCGGCGAGTCGACGACGAGCGAGCCGAAGGCGGCGACGAGGCGTCCCGATCTGCACCTTGTCCCCCAGCAGGGTAGGCTCCGCCTCACTGCATCTCGGACTGGATTCCACGAATTGATTTTCCTAGCGTCGTCAAAGTGAGCTGAAAGCTCGCTGAAGAGCCGATGTCACCCGCCGACCGCCTCCCATCTCGCCGCTGCTCTGGCGGGGCGGCGGCGGGGCCTGGCGACGGCGCGCGGCGCATGTGCCGTGGCAACCCACCGGGCCGGCCGGCCGCGAAGGCGCCGACCGGCGATCGCCACCGCGCCCCGCCTCGGAACGCCGTTTCCGCTTGGCGTCCGAGGCGCTCGGCGTTCCCGCTGGAGCGCGAGATCGGACCGGGTCTGACGCTCCTTTACTCGCCGTAGGCACGGCTGGCCGGCTGGAGCAACGGAAAAACAAGAATCGAATACGTCAATCCTCTCCGGCCAGCCTCGGGCTAATTAAAGCCGCAAAAAATCGGAAGGTTCCGCCGCCCCGGATTCCACCTCCCTGGCCCTCCACGCCCCGCGCGCGCGACCGTATCACCGCCGCAGTCGGCCTCCCCGCCCCGCGCGCTGTAGGAGCGGCGCCCACCCACCGGAGACGCCTTCCCCTAGACCGCCCGACCACCCCGCCCCCTTCGGCAGGTGCCTCGCACGTATTTTGAGCGCGAGAGGCCTCCTTTGAGGTGGCGGCCGGCCGCCGCGTCGCGCGGTGAGGCGGCATGAGGCCGTCCCCCTTCACGTTCGAAGGCGGGCCGGCCACGGCACCGGCTGTCGCGGCTCGAGGGCGGCAGGCGAGCCGCCCCCCCCTCCTCCCTCCCTCCGCTCCTTCCTCCCTTCCCCGCAGCGCTGCCCACGGCACCATCTCCTGGTGCCCCGCTGCCGCCCCACCCGCCGCGCCGCCCGCCGCCGATGGCCCGGCCGCCACCGCCACCGTCGGCGGCCGCCTCCCGCCCACCCGCACCGCCGCCCCGGCCACTGCCACCCGCGCCGCCGCCTCGCCCAACGCCCCCGCCGGCCCACCCTCCCGCCCGTCGCCGCTGCCGCCGCGCCGCCGCTGCCGCCCTCCGGGCCGCCTCCGGCCCCGCCACCTGCCTCGCCGCCGCCCACGCGACTGGCCTCGCCGCCGCCACCGCCACCGCCCTCCCCACCGTCCTCCCCACCGCTCTCACCGCCGCCGACGCGCCGCCACGCCGCCTCTGCCTCCGCCCTCGCCGAGCCGTCGCCACCGCCCTTCTCGCCGCCTCTGCGGCCCGTGCCGCCTTGGGTGCCCCCTATTCCGTGGCCCTCGCCACCGCCGCCGCCGTCGCCGCCCCAGCAGCCACCGCTACAGCCGCATCCCGAAATGGAAGCTTTTGTGACGCTGTCCCCCCCTATCTCCAACGGCTTCCCTGGTCGGG